ATGTCTCTAACTAATAACCTGAGTGAAAGACCATGGCTAAAATCCAGGAAAATAACATTGAATTGCTAATTTCATGAGAGTTAACCACATATTTAAACTTAAGTACTTTCTAGATGAGAACCTCTAAGATGGATGATTGAAAATATATATTAAAAAAAAGGGAAGGGGGGATTTATAAAAGCTCTTCTATAACAAAACCAACTCTGCAAATCTGTGGACTGTATTTGCATACAAATGCTGTATATGTGCTGAGTAACTAAACAAATTCTAGCTAGTTATAATTTGAAGAGTTGACAAATGGCTGTTAAGTGTGCAAATGATTAAGTGCTGCTCTTACTGACAACACTGGTAACACATTCTCTTCTGCACAATGCTTACATTGCATCACTTGTTACCCTGAAAATATATATTGCCTCCCATTCTCCGCTTGTAATTTGGATCGCATTCTCCTGTGAAGCAAGATAGATACGTTACTGAATATAGTAGAATTATTTCAGGAATTTACAGTAGATTCATGTGAAACATTCTATGTTTGACTTACCACAGAGCCATTGATGTAATGAATATGCTTATAGCCATTTTTATCACTAAAAATTTTGTAGTATGAACTGCTGTCTGATGTGAAATATGGTGTTGAAACGAAGAACTGAAATAAAGAAAAATGGTAGATGAAGCATAAATAAAGAGTATTCAAGACGTTTAGCAGCTTATAGTACACGTTAAAAGTAACTAGATTCTATTTCAATAGCTCTACGGAACAAACACCTTTGGTTATTTGTTTATCTGCAGTGTACAATCTTCCACTCAGTGCACATTGCAATTTCTAATTTATCATGTCAGATTTTTTTAAGATGATAATAAATATACAAATATTAGCTGATTAATACAAGTAGAATAATTTGCTTGTATATTTTGAATGATCATTCTTTATTTAAAAATTGTTTTTTTTCATAAATAAGTTTCTGAATAGTGTTTGAGAACAGTGACAGACTAAAAATTCTGTGGACCTCAGAGTTTGATTGATTCACTGAATGAACACAGCACTGAGCTGATATCTAAATCACCCATTCTGTCCCAATAACATTTAAGAACAATTTTTGCTTCACCTCATCACTAACAAAGTAGCAGGTTTAAGCCAGTAGTATTTTCTGACTTTCAGAAAGTTTCAGAAGGATACCCTGATTTTAAAACACTGCTGGGAACATATGGAAAGCTGTAGATTTTCCTTAAACAAAACAGAGTACAACAAGAAAACCTACTCCGCCTGCCCATCCTGTTGAACTCTCTTCTATGTGCTGTTGATTCTGAAAAACAAAACAAAACATACAGTCTTTAAGAATGAATTCACGGAGTTTAAAAACCTTCAAATAATTTATTCACTATGTAGCTTCAAGGAACCTGAAAGTAGCCTGAAGTAAATAATATCATAGAAATACTACTACGTTAATTAAAATATTGTAATTTTTAACAGCTAAATGAAATAAAAATATGAAATAATAAAAAAAAGCATTTCATTGAAAACAAGAATGACCAACTGCTTTAATGTCATTTGTCATTAATTTTTGAAAAAAGCAAAACCCTCAACTCAAATTCTTTTCAGGAATAGTAATAGTATTGAAAATCTGATTTAGAGTCTCACTTGATTCAGTTGACATATTTCCTTCGATTTCAAAGGAGTGATGTTGTTTTATAACTGAGGATAATGTAACTATTAGGTACAGTTTTTAAAGCTGAGGCTCAAGATA